GTTTTACGTTTTGGTACTTGTTTCTCTTTGTCTTTGAAAGCGTCATGTCGGGTTCACTGTATACCAGCGCTAATGTGTCTTCGGCTGCGTTGATCAGCGAACCTAATGCTGTATACGGCAGCGTGAACTGCTCAAAGCCCGTGATGGACGAGTCTGGTGGCATGCATTACTATGTATGCAAACGATGGTACCATGAGACCTGTACCGACTTGAACCCTGATCAGTATGCAATGATGTGTCAGCTGTACACCGTAACGGCGCTTCGCTGCCGCGCGATCACCACCAGTCACGCGCAGGCTAAGTATATCGCAAGGACGCCCACCACTACGAGGATTCGAACCGGTGACCTTATGGTGCAGACCTTACGTGACCTTACGTGTAGACCACTCGGCCACCGGCCGACTGATCAGTATGCAATGCTTTCGACTAACGATAGCATGTTGTTCAGTTGTCTTCTATGCCATAGCCGTCGATCTACGCGGCTCGAGGTCACTGAGGAGACATCGAGCAACGTCGGGCTAAGTAACCAGCAGATGTGGTCTTTCCTCACATCTCTTGATTGCGAAGTGGAGTTACTGATGAGGAAAATAGGAGCCTCTATTGATGTCGGCTCATTGGAGGAAGCCACGCAACTAATCTCACCTGCTGTCTATGAGAATCCGACTGAAGTGATGGCTACCCTGTCGTGTACCCAAGCTACCCAGAATGCCCCCTAACAAGGCCTCTGATGTCGTACTGGACGACGTCCAATGTAAGACCAATCTTCTAGCCCCTGAACCCAATAAGAGCAAGAGGGCCAAGAAAGTCCGTAAGGCTTCCTCAGAAGTCTGAAGGTACTGAATCTATAAAGATGTTAGAAGTAGAGCACAAAGCCCCAACTCCAATCACTCCAGTTTCATTGGCGAAGAAACGCGCCGCGTCAACTTCTGACAAACCCGCAAAGTCTAGACCGGGGAGGAAGTTAGAGGTAGAACACAAAGCCTCAACCTTAATTACTCCAGTTCCTTTGGCGAAGAAACGCGTCGTGTCACCTACCAAACCGATCGAAACTGTGGTCGAGTCGGAAGACGCGTGGAGTGAAGACAACTCGTCGAGGTGGTTCTTTTACTGACAGCAGCGTTATTTTCCGTAACGTTGCTAAATCCGCGGCAGCTCTTCCCAGGGAACGCAAGCTGGATGACCACCATTGGTTCAAGCTCTGCGTCAACAAGATGCTTCTACCTGTTTTCACCGGTGTCATTATCAGGGAGCTAACCAGACTGGGGAACGTCCCTGTCGATACGCCAAATCCACGACTACTTCGTGTAGTCCTCTCAACCCCGGAAGAACGCAAAGCGTTAATGCGCTTTGCATTCAAGCTCAAGGGTAGCAATGTCAACGTTCGGAAAGACCTCCCATTAGCAGATCGACTGAAGTTAAAAGAAGCCATCAAAAACCTCAAGAGCAGGCGCGCGGTGGGTGAGCAAGGCTTCCGTTTTGTGGGTTTTGAGGTGGTCAGCCGGAAGTCAAATTCTGCCCTACTAGAACCCCTCCTAATAGCGTAGGACCCAGGGCTGGTCGTGCCGAGTTCCTTCGGGTAGTGTTTAACAATGTACGTAGCCTAAGGAACAAGGTACACGAGGTGGGTCTACTTGTAGACAAATCTCATCCCGACATACTTGGTTTCACTAAAATGTGGTTGTCCCCGGATATCACAAACGGTGAAGTATGTTCACCTAGCTATGCACTGCTTAGATGTGATCGCTCCGTTGGCCGCCAAGGTGGGGGCGTCGTTCTTTAAATCAGTTGTAAACTTGATGTGTTGAGGACCTGTGTTTTCCAGTCGTCGAATCAAACTGTTGAAGCTCTGTTGAGTACTGTACGCACTTCCTCTGCTCAGTTTACAGTCATAGTGGGATATCGAAGTCCTGGAAGTATCTCCGAGGAAGTTATTGAGTTTATTCGTACTCAGAATGTCAATAGATGTATAATACTGGGTGATTTCAACCACCATGAAGTCTGCTGGGCTGATCTATCTTGCAGTTCGGCGGTGGGCACTTTTGGTTCGGATCTCCTAGAGCTAACGTTGCAACTGCCTTTGCATCAGTTCGCGGACCTTGACTAGATATATGAGCAACCAGCTTCCGTCTATTTTGGATCTTATTTTTGCGAAGTCACACGATTTCCTAAGTGATATTGCATACGGCTGTCCTCTAGGAGCCAGTGACTAGGTCTGTATATCCTTTCGATGTGCTCTAACTGTCATCAGGCTACCGCTGATGAATGTACAAATATTTAGCGGGCAGACTTTAACGCAATACGAGACAAAGCTTCAGTTCTGCGTTACGCGATCACCGTGGCTGACACCGTTGAGACAGCCTGGGAGAAATTTAAGACATACCTCACCGAGATCACTGCTCCCCACATCCCACTCATTAAGGGTGAAACAGGCGCAGCCACCTTGGAGAGATCATATAGATAAATACCTGCTCAGGAAGCACTCTAAATGCTGGCGAACTTACCAAGCGGCTTCAACAACCAGCACTTACGAAAGCTATAGAGCGGTTAGAAATAAATGTAAGCAACATCTTAGGATTACTCGTCTTCAGTACGAGAAGGGTTTGGATGACGCAGCCGCAACAAGTCCAAAAAAGTTAGTTGCTTACTTAAAGAGGCGCAGGGGTACGAACTCGTTTATAACAGCTTTACTACGAGCAAAAGGGAACTTGTAGACATACAGACTATGATAAGGCTTGTATACTTAGCGAACAGTATATTAGTCTTTACTCGTGAGACCTCTACCTCAGGCTGAGCTGGTCACATAAGTTCCGGAGAATTCTTGCCTAGCAGAAATAAATATAATGGAAACACAAGTCTTCGGGCTATTGCAAGGGCTAAATCCTTCCAAAGCTTCTGGCCCTGATTCAATTCATTCGAAGCTGATGCATAAATTGGCCGCTGAGCTGTGGCCCACTCACATGCGTGTTTACAATATCGCTTGACAGCTGTGCCTTACATTCGGAATGGAAGGAGGCAATCAACTGTCCGATTTTTGAGGGCGGTGACAGCGCTCTACCCGCGAAGTACCGGCTTGATAAGCGTAGTAGTTAAGTTGTTTGAAAACTGGTCAAAAATTCGGTGGAGAATCACCTGAATAAGTTTAACTTCTTTGCTGCACAGTACGGATTCCGTAAGGGATTTTCGTGTCTAACAAATTTACTTGTAGCTCATAAAAGCCGGACTAAAACAGTAGACAACGGTCACGCTATCGACGTGCTTTTCGTTGACTTCGCAAAAGCCTTTGATAATGTCCCACAACAACGACTCTCATTAAAGTCGAGATCGTAAGGGATATCTGGAGGTGCCCTTAAATGGGTGTCTGCTTTCCTAGAGGGGAGAGAACAGTGTGTACACGTGGGACATAGCCTTTCGGTTAGACAAGCTGTTCTTAGTGGCGTTCCGCTCGGTTCTAGGCTCGTTGCTTTTCGCAATTAATGTCAATGACCTACCCCGGGAGCTTGTAGTACCACCGTTATTGTTTGATGATGACCTCAAGCTATGGAATATGATGGATATCCCTGGAGGCTCTGAGGCAATTTTGAGTGCGTTGGATAGACTCTGGGATTGGTCAACCTTATGGCTGATGTCTATACATCAGGCGAAATGTTCTGTCCTCCGCGTTAGAGGTGCTAGTTCACCCACGCGCTATCTAGCTGATGAAGTAAAACCCCCTGTTGTCACTCAGCAGGTTGATCTAAGTATCGTTCACACCTGTGTTCACTCTGAGTACAATTGGAGAAAGGCTGCTTGTAGAGGGTTCCATATGATATGGTTTATTCGCCGCTCCTTCAGTGTCCTAACGGCCGATATCTTTGTGAAGCTGTTCTCAGCTTTTGTGCGATCCCACTTAGAATATTGTATTCAGACTTGTCCAACATGGCTTGTAAGGGACAAAATGGAACTGGAGAGGGTTTTGCGACTGCAGGGATTACGGAGGCAAAGGTATCCCGAAAGTTTTCTTGGCTTGGGTATGTACTCAATGCCCTACCGAAGAATTAGAGGACACTTGGTCCTCACTAACCGTATCCTAACAAGTAAGATCGGTCCAGACTTGTCCTAGCTATTTAGTCCCGCCAAGCTGCTTAGTCACCGAGGTCCACTGTTGAAGCTGCACAAACTGCGTTTTGAACGGGTAAGGACGGAAACTCCCTTGTCGCACCGGGTTATGGAACGTTGGAACTCACTTCCGGAGAACGTTGTTAGAGAGTCTACGGTAGAGGGTTTCAAGTGTCAGTTAGATGCTCTTGGATTGCAGTACGAGATCTTCCTCTTCTCCATCATCATCATCATCATCATCATTATACATGTCAGCTAGAGATGGTAAAACACCTCCGCTATTGTACCGCAATTCCTCTTCTCCTAACCGACTTGTATCTTCAAGCTTCCGTTCGTTTTTCTAATTCTTCCCACATCCTGGTATTAGCATTATTCAGCTGACATGCCTCCTCTTGTTTTCTTAGCTTACCCCTCACTCTTACTTTACATAAACGGGTCAGACAGGGACTGCTGGGCACGAAAAATGTAGGCAGTAATTGGTTGGACAGGGTGTGATGCGGCCTTTGTTTTAGTCTTTTCAAAATCTCAAGCAGATCTATCCAATCCCGATCTAACGATACGCAAAAGAAGGAAGATTCAAGGGGTTATCCTATCGTTCCAGTCCAGACTGAACTTGAATTTGTAGTATCTTTCATATAGGCACGAACTGAGTCTTAGTAATTGGAAGTACCTAAGGAAAACCAGGGAATATTTAACTCCATAAATCGAGTAAAAGTGGAAGGCTAATGTGTTGATGGATTAGTGAAAGCAAGCGAGAATAACTGAAAATCACAATGAAAAAATGGTTTAAATTAATTTGAGTGATACGGTGACGTGGTGAGGCAATGTGTAGGTTAACAAATACCAACAAATGCGAAAATACCGGACCTAAGAACTGAGTGGTTGAGATGAAAAATATAACCCACCTCTTCAGTTACACTGATTGGGCCCTTCGCACCACCGTGGGAATGGACACCAAGGACCAGCATGCCTAAGATGTTAACCAAAAGGCCACCGGCACCAACGTAAATCATTAGGCGCGGATTCTCAATCGGTTCCGTAGTTATAAATCGCTGAATCGCCTGTAGTAGAATAGTACAACACAGAGTGATGAGCATGACGGTATTAATCAGTCCCCCCATAACCTCCGCTCTTTGCCAGCCAAATGTGTTTTTTGAGGAACTTGGCCATTTAGCTATGCGTGCAGCAACTATCCCAACAACGAGTGCCATGAAGTCTGAGAGCATATGAAAAGCGTCCGCTACCAGAGCTACGGAATTGACAACGTAGCCCACGATAAGCTCCACAAAGAAATAGATAGCAACAAGTGCCAACATGCAAATAAGGCGTGTAGTATTTCCACATTTGGAACACATAACTGTAGAGATCAAAGTATGAGGACCTAAATAAGTCGATGAAGACCAATCATCAACGGGGTTGACATAAATGCAGACCGCGCGGCCGAACCTAGCGCCATATTAAATGTACTCGGTGCATGTGTGAAATAAACTAACAGATATTATTGCGCCAAATACACAGTTCGCTGTTGGAAATTTTCCTGTAGAAAAGTATGTGGGTTAACCAACTTGCATGTTCTGTTTTATTCAAGCTCTCATATGACCGGAACATTGATAACCTGTAGGTTCCTACTTGAGTTTGTTCTTGGGCCAGGGGATCATTAACCACACATGCGAGCTAAAGCAGTACACAGGGCTCACACCGTGGGGAAAACCAATGCAGGACATAGGAATTTCCTTCTGCTCTCTACTAACCAATGAACCAAAAGGACTAAATGGTGTGCAGCTCTACTTCACGCTTCAGCGGTCGCGAGAATCTCAAATCAAGTACTGGGCAGGTTGTAGTGGTAGGTGACTTATATCAACCCCCCTTCTTATGCAGAAAGTTAAGCCAGGAAATGCCAAGGTACTCTGAAGTCTAAGCGGATTTAAAATGAAGCACTCTAGTCATCCAATTACTGTCCATGTTTCCTGCGCTAGCGGCTCCTGCAATGACGGGTAGGCAAGAGCATAAGCGAACTCGATAGTAAGAAATTAGGCAGGTCATTCGAATGAAGCAATATACTACTAAGTAATCAAAAACAAGAAATAATTGGTGTATAAGGGTGGGTAGGCGCAACAAGGAGATATTTGTGCAGTTGTCAAACCCAAACCTTCAACTGTCAGTCAAATGTCATTAGTAGGTTGTTTGAGGACATTTTCTAGAAGCTAGTTCTAAATGTAGTTCTGCGGTATGCTAACCGAGTTTCATTCTCAATTAGTTCATAGAGCGGCTTGTACAGCTTCATGGGATAACCGCGGATTCCAGACGACCAGGCCGTGCATAATAGCCAAAACTCAGCCGGTCAAACTTCCGGGTAAACAACAGCAAATGAAGCCCAGTTTCCTTCGATGCATTTTGTAGTACAAAAAATGCATCCCAAAACTTATTAGATCTACGGCGGTCATTAACCACAGCAAGCTATCGACCGAAGTAGTATCCACTCGTAAAGCATTCTCAAGTGGCATCTAATCCTGGACGACGCAGGGCATACAGGCTTAAGCGCATGCTTATAGATATGGGACCTACAGATGCTAACAACAGTATTACAAGGACTTTGACGTTGATTTCGAATAAGCGATGTATGAACTACAACAACCATTACACCGATTTGTTATCACTTAGTATTTTGTTTTGTTTGGTTACAATAATAGCTTGGCACCCACCCAGCGCGTACCTGTAAGGCAAAGAATCTGCTCTGATGCAAAAACTGAACAAGTTAACTGGTATATGGACTGTAGTTAGACCGTACACATTTTCTAGAGCTTATCCACAGCATGGCGCTTAACATCAATAAACCCAGCAAAGCTGCGTTGTCCTGTCGCTTCAGGTCATCAGCAAATAATGGCAATAAGGCGGCTAACTTCCTAGGGAGAGCGCCTGCATAGCGGTTAACAGCAACGGTCCATGGACATAGCTTAGTGATACGCACAAAGAATAGCTTGTTTAAAGACACGATAAGGCGCACGCCTACACAATGCTCGATCTAGTTCAAAAATGATGACACCCAAGGAAGTGCGCTCAGGAAAGAACGTAAGATCACCTCTGCAATAGCCTTCGCCTGGGAGCCGTGTCAAATGCAAATGCAGAAGCAGCATGCAACACGTCCACTACGGAGACTGCTTTAGGCATCAGATGAACCCACCAGGTCTACCACAAAATTGGCCAACAGCGAAAATTCCTTCTGGGATATATATTGGGCACGAATGTTTTGAATAAATCACTTTAACTGAACTTTAAACACAATTTGCAAGCATTTTTAACTTTTTACTAATGTGCTGCACAGTTATATGCTTGCAATAACACAAGTAGGCTGCTGTCGACAATATTGAACTTGCTTAATTGTGATAATTTACCCCCATTTGCAAGGCGAGGGGCAGCTGCAAATGATTTCAAAACACAATCGGAAGTAGTGTACTTAGTTTCTTTGGAAAAATCATTTGGGATCTTTAGATTAATTAATTCAGCCTTAGTGGCAGCCTATAAACTTGCGTTTTAACCACGATAGACTCAGCTAGACCTGTACGTCTTGATTAATGGAAAGCGTGTTAACGCCGTTGAGGTGTTTTCACGAACAAAAGCCATCGCGAAGGTTCATCAAGTATAGTTGATTTTCTATGTCCGCGTCCGCAGGGGGTCAACTGGACTGCAATGACCCTGTAATTTCTGAGTACAAACAGAAGCGGATTTTAAATACACAAGGATATTTTCCTTACCGCCATTGATCCTCACCCAAGTGCTACTTGCGTCCAGTGCTAATCTATCGCTACAACACAGTTGCTAGAATTTGGAGCGGGTTCGTAGGTACGCCCGCATCTACACCGCTTATAAACAGATACTAGCCAGCGAAAATATTCAAGCGCGGCCATGTTGGCATCCTTCTTCTTTGCGCAGACCTCCGTTAGCTTGGAGACCACATGCTGAAAAGCGCCTCACGGGAGCGGGGGCTTAAGTTAGTAAGGAAAGAAGACATCGGCTGTTCTGCGCAGTTTAGGAGGGCGTCCAAAACCTCTGACGAACACGTTGGTCACTTATGGAGGGCGTTTGGACGGTTCGACCCCTCCACTTTCCCCAAATGCTCAATGAGCATGTGCGGCTCCATGTCGAATAATCGATTAAGACCTGTCAATCTTAGCTAAAAGACGAGCTGGTTGCACTAGATACCGCAGAGTAAAGCGCAACCAAGAATGTTAAACGAAAGCTTCACCCATCGTGTCATCTTCGGCAGAAAACCTTAGGAGGGTGTAGCGGAAATACCCGCTCTTTTTTGGCGAGGCGTCATTCTAGCATACCCGTTCTTAAAATACCCGATCACGCTTGCCGTCAGCACTTGAAGTAAGGCCGCAACGAGAGTTGCTGGATTCCCAAGGGAACCGGCTACTCAATGAAATCGGCTGGAATGCTGCCGGAGCTGTTTTGCTCCTAGAATTTGTCACTCTTGGAACGAACTTCAGACTTTTGTCACTATGGAGCCCACGCTACTTGCATTTAAAATTTGAACCGATGATGCAATACAAAACCTGCATTATCTGAGTTCCTTTCTGTTTACTTAGTGACAACAACCTGCCAACAACTATTGTGCGCTGCAGCCCCTAGGAAATTGGTATAAACAGCTACATCTAGGGAGTATACACAAGTACATATCTACTTCAGCGAACAAACCTCGAATTACAGTGGATTTATACGTACTAATCCTGCGGTGGCCCTACTAGTATGATCCTTGCATTTGAATTTTCACGATGGCCATCCTGAGGGACTTGTCAAGCTACAGCTCTTTGAATAAAGAAATAAACAAATATTTCATTCTCGAATTAATCGAGCCATTTCATCTCGTATAAACCAGTTGTTCCATTGTCCCACTGAACATAACTCAGGCCAAGGGAACCGTGTCCGAACAGAAATCCAGCAACATATTTCAAAGTCCTTAAACTGAATAAAAATTACGAGCTGTTTCTCGAACGTAGCCGAATTTTGCCATTGTTACCATGCTCAGAAATTAACAAGGATCTATGCCTGGTGAGTCATAAACTCCTAAGGCTCTGTAATACATTATGAATCGTTGCACAATGTCCAAAACATGTGTTGGAAAAGACCTTCAGCACATTTTTGGTGTATAACGGAGAAGTGTGTGCTTGTACCATATTGCCGAAAATGTGGCCTAAGCGAGAATTATTGTAAGCGACCTTGACGATAAACATAAGAACTAACGTTACTTGGATTTTAGTCTGTCCTGTGCATCTGTTGTCAGGCTAACAAAATTTTTTAGTATACTTGCATAATGATGCACTCGAAAAGGTATCGCGATTCGAGGAATCCACGGCTGTGATGCTCAGGTGAATGCATGTGTTTTTTATTTAGTAATTGGGAAACCTAACATTCTAAGGAATGGATGTTACCAACGATGGTTCTTCGGAATGTCCAAAGCAGTCATTTGAATTAATAGTTGTGGTCACCTGCAGGAATGAAAGATGCGGGGGGATGGGGAAGACGTCCTACTCTAAAGCTTGGTTAGGTGGTTAAGTTCTATTTCTGGTTTCGTGAAGGGAGTAGGGATACGTTCCACAAGACCACCAACAAAATAGATGGTCGAGTAGTGCAAAATGTGGTAAAATATATAAGGAAACTAAGCAACAGTTTACAATGCAAGGATGTTTTGGCACAAGAGTGGGCCTGTCCGTACCGATGACCGGAAATTAACATTGACGAAATGATCCAAGGATTGACCCAATGGAATCACCTCCAAAAATGAAAGGACCTCCCTTGCTCAATATGACAGAACGCTCCGGTGTATATGGGCATCACTTCACCGGTGCAACTAGTACCCGCATATTATTTTTATTTTTGTTATTATTATACATCAGTTGACCAATGTACAATTGCAGTGCCCCAGCACATATATAACCACAATAAAAAGGGGGAAACCGGTAGTCCATGAAAGGATTTGGAAAGTGTAGAAGGTTTATGTGTTGTGCGGATAGAGATCACTCCGATTGCCCAGGCCGCGGAGGCGAGTTGACTTAAGGGACCCTACCCCGAGCCTTTGGTCTTAAGGCCTGACGCGTAAGGCAGCGCGGCGATTAATTAAGACCCTTGACATCCGGGTGGCTCTATCGCCTTCTTTGTGTTCAGTAGCTATCGATAGAGAACCTGGTGGCCTGTAAGGTTGTTTATCCGCTCACCGTTATATACGCACCTCTGGTTAGAGAAGTGAGGGGTCAGTGCTCCTATAGCCGGTCACGCTGGCTAATGCAGGGCGCCGTATGGGCTGTTGTGGTATTTGTAGGAGTACCAGGTGACCAGCCTAGAGATCCGCACACTCTGAGACGCTGTCGCTGATTGTCTGAGGCTGATTATTCACCTCGCCTGCAAGACAAACGAGGCTTAGTTGCAGTTACCACAAGGAAGGCGTTTAACAATCCGCAACCTGGG